ATTATGTTTCCCCATTGAAGATACATGATTACTTAATAAACATGATGAGAATAATAATATAATATAAAATAATAATAATAATTATATTAATAATATAAAATAATAAGAAGAAGAAGAATAACAACAACAACAATAATAATGACGTCACCATAATTTGTTGATGATGGGATAATCCGATGGTTGGATGTGCTTCAAGTGAAGATAGTGAGCTATAAATAAGATTAGTAGAGTTGGACAAGGTATAGTAGATACCATTATGGTGATTTCTTCAAACTTCTTGGACCATCTTGATAGCGGCAAAAGAGTACATTTATTGGATCCAGAAAGTGATGAAGTAAAAATGGAAATAGAGTTGGAGAAGGTGGGTGTTTTGCCGCTATTAAGATGGTTCCAAGAAGATCGAATAAATGACTAGAATTGTGTCTACGTACATTTTTATAGGCAAAATACAATATGAAAACACCGAAAGTTTTCACTTTTTAGTGTGAATAGCCCTGAAATAGGACATGGTTCATAATCTTTGTTTCCTAAGATTATCATTACATTCACTTTTAATTTTTTCCTAATTATCTTTGAAATTTCCATTGTGAAAAGAACATGGTTTACATTGTTTTAACTTTTAAAAGTGCACAACTTTGTTAAATTCGGAATTCTATTTTATATCGGGTTTATTTAGAAGATAACTTAAATTCAGAAAATGTTACTACATTTATTAGGAGTGTTGTCATAATCAGAAAATGTTACTACATTTATTAGGAGTGTTCTCACATTATATCGCGTTAGTTTAAGTGTAACTTGATGCAAGTTGAAATGTAACTTGAGCCAAGTTGAAATGTAAATTTAGGTCATGCATATGGAAATTTAACTCAATGTATTATCAAATGGTATAACATGTAACTCACACATACAAGCATGTAACTCACGCATATAAACATGTAACTCACGCATATTGAGCATGAAACTAACGCATGCGCATTTAAATTTAACTTCATCTTTTATCAAATGTAACTCCAGGAATTGTGTTTAAATGTAACTCACACATACGAAAGTGTAAATTGCACATATGAAAATGTAATCTCATCTATTATCTGATGTAAATCGAAATAAACAAACTCAATGTCATACAAACTTTCTAAAATATATATAATTTAGACAAACACATATTACTGGAACAAAAGTTTATGAATATGAAAACTCTTACAGGAAAAAGTGTATGAATATAAAAAAGTGTGTGAATATGAAATACAATATATTATTTGCAAAACAAATACAATATATTTATTTTATGTGGTAATTCAGTTGTAATGTATTTAGATAATGATAAAGAAAAGTAAAATTGGTTTAAATCACAGTTCAATATTTAAGATTTTGATGGAGAAGGAGAACCGAATTGAAGAAAAGAAAAATATAGAAGAAGAAATCACAAAATTGAAGGAAAAAGAAAGAAATCGTTGACAGTGAAGCCAAGAATAAAAAAATGTGCCGTATTGGGGACCACTATGTCATGCGCATGGTATAAAAATTACATCCTCCAAGATAAATGTCTGATCGGTTCTGGAGGGCTCTCACGGATGGAGTGTTATCCTTTTTCTTCCCAAAATATTAAAACATGTTTATACTTTTCTATAAGGACCATTGCATTAGTCATGCAAACAAATTAGTTGGATGTCAATTTTAAATGATAAAGTCAAAAGCAAATGTACAAAAACTCTTCGACACTGTGTGAAAATATAATAAGGGGATAGGGGGGGGGGGGGATAAAGGAATGAAAGGAATAATATTTATTGCTTTTTCGTACAAATAATACAACCAGTGCCATCAATTCTTACCTTGAATGATGACTCAAAATAATTTGTGTAACCAATTGGATAGGGTGAAATAAAACATTTATGGTAATCTTGGGATCATATTTGAAATGTTTACAATGTTTTAGTTGATTTATTCATTATTTTGTTAATACATGCTATTATTTAACATGCTATTATCAGGTTAATAAAAATTAAATTGTGCTATTATTGCATCACTACTTACAAATCAACATCGTTTTTACTAGATTAATAAGTCATTCTCAGTTAATTCGTAAGAAATTATGACTAAATAGTTGAACAAATAATTGAGTGCCTCTTCACTCGGTTGAAGATAATTGGGGGGTATGCGCATATGTACTAAATATGAAAAGTCAATTGAGTATTGTAATATCAAACCACCCAATAACCCCCCAATTTCGGAAAAACATTCCAATCATACTTTTAATTATATTGGTTGAACGGAAAAACTGCTTGTGTTGAGGTTATCAATTTTAATTAATTTCATCAGATGAAAAATGAATAAATCAGATAGAATATCTAGACCTGAGATTCTTGTTGTGACAACAAAAAATATTTACTTTTACTTCGGGTTAAGAATGTGTCTCGTTATTAATAGCTGTCCATGACGAATTGGAGTTTTTCCACAATTAAGTACTCAAGAAGGATAATTAAAATAGTAACAATGATCAATGAGCACTTCACTAAGTGGAAATTAGCAAAATCAAGGCTGATTACCTTTGATATTTTATTTCACTCATTTTAATATTTTATTTGCTTTCTTAATGATTAAAATATTCAATTCCCCTTTCCATTTACTTTTATTTATTACGCTTACACACGCGAAAAATACCTTTCTATGTGGATACGAACTCTACTACGCTATATTACGATATTAGCCCTTAGTAATGAATTCATTTTTAGGCACATAACGACTTTAGTGTCGTCAATAGAACCAAAGGACATAAATCTATGAACTAAGTAATCACTACAAGAAAAGTGCACATAGACCACACATAGATCAATTTTTTTTTGCGATGGCCGCATAACTGTCGTTAAAAACACCATTAACCACACATTTTTTTATTTACCACATACAAAATTGTGGTAAAAGGTCAGAGACGACAGTTTTTAACCGTGGCCAATGTTTTTACCACGGCTGTTGTGGCGACGCACGTAAAACTGATGCAAAGCTGTCGTAAATGTTCCTCCTTATGTTTTTACAACAGTTTTGCTACAGTTTTACGTGCGTCGGCACACAGCTGTGGTAAAAACATTGGACACGGTTAAAAACTGTCGTCTCTAAGCTTTTACCACATTTTTGTGTGTGGTAAATAAAAAAATGTGTGGTTAATGGTGTCTTAACGACAGTTATGCTGCCATCGCAAAAAAAATTATGGTCCATGTGCAGTCTATGTGCGCTTTTCTTGTAGTAAATAAAACATCATATATTAAACCTAAAAACAAACACTTATGCATTCATGGTGTGCGCATATCACATCAGAATAAAATAGTCAATGGGTGTTACCGTCACATTCGACTATCTCTTAACTGAATGCACATGTCAACCCAGAATCCAAACATAATTCAAGTAATTAAAGATTTAAATCGCATACACAATTTAAATGTCTACATGTTCTCAAACCGAATAAAGAGTACTAGGTGAATAATAGCTAAATAACTACGTGATCTAACACACATCTCTCAATCTCATCTTTCTTTTTGATGGCATTCGGTTGATTTCTTTCTTAGTCTAAAAAATCTTCTTCGATGGATTGTGATTGAAGAGTTATAAGAAATAGAGAGTAGGAAGTCAGCCTTAAAGTTTTTGGAATGAAGGAATTCAGGTTAGGGATGTATTGACATAAAAAATTCAAAGTTGGGTCGAACTCGGCTAAAAAGGGGTGCACATGCATGTTGCGCGTGCAACACGGTGCAGAAAATTGGTCAGATGCATGGATTCTTGGCACACTGTGCATGCCTCCGTGCGCTCCTCGAAATCTCTCCTAGCGCACGTCGTGCGTTGCTGGTTGTACCTTTGTCCCTTGATTTTGATGCCACGCAAGCCATGCGTGATCCCCAAACGCACTAATGCATAAAATAGCTTCACTCCTTCCCCGTTTGCCCCATGGTCCCAAACACTAAACCAAACATCATAAACTATCTAGTGACCTTCTAAACGGTATAAAACATAGTTTTCTTTAGTTCTCACATTTTCTCAATTTTCGGGATATTACATTGCCACTGAATTCGATCAACAGCCCCCCTTGATGAATGACTAATTCATCCCCCGTTTTTGGAGTACCAATACTTTGAAAATCCATGGGAGATTCTTTTTCCTCTATTTTTGAATACCAAACTGAAGATCAGTAACTTCCACCGGAGAAGTTATCTTTCATATTGGTAGTGGTCTTCCTGTTGCAGTGTAGAAGACAACTTCATTAAATGCTTGCACAAGATATATTTTTTAACCTGATTAGTAAACCACTAAAATTAGTGGGGTAAATGCCGTGGAACATTTTGATTAGTAAACCACTAAAATACTGATGTTTGGCTTGATTCAAGGTTTTAGTAAATAGGTTTACATTTTGAAAGTTGTTCCGCAAAAATGTAAGTTGATCCTTTCCTAAGCCATCAGTTGTCTGATAAAATGATGTTGCACATCAATGTGCTTGGTTCTTGCGTGAAATGGAGGATTCCTTGCCATAGCAATACTGGAATTGTTATCACACCAAATCTCAGGTTCACCTTGATACTCATAGACCAAGTCCTTCAGCAATTTCTACAGCCAAAGTGCTTGTTCTGCTGAAGCCCCTTCAACAATATACTTAGCTTCAGATGATGATAGAGCCATAGTGTCTTGCTTCTTAGAACTCCAAGTAACAGCCCCAATTCCAAGATCAAACACTGAGCCTGATGTGTTTTTCCTGTCATCAATACACCCTACCCAATTGCTATCATTATATCCTCTCAATTTTAAGTCTTTCAAACTTCCATACCAAAGTCCATAGTCAAGTGTTCCTGCTATGTACTTTAGAATTCTTTTAGTTGCTCCAAGATGTTGCTTTTTTTTAGACAATGCATGTATCTAGACACAACACTGACACTAAATTATATATCTGGTGTAGTGTGTGTTAAATAAATTAGTCCACCTACCAGACTTTTGAACAATCTCTCATCTGCACTTCAGTTCCACCATTCCTCTGCAACTACTTGTCATTTGTATTTATAGGTGTCCGGGCTAATTCACATTTCTCCATGTGAAATCTTTGAAGTAGATCCTTAGCATACTTCCTTTGGCACAGGAAAGTTCAATCTTTTCCTTGTTTGACCTCCAAACCAAGGAAATACTGCAAGATGCCTAGGTCTGTCATCTCAAATTCCCGCTTCATTGACCTTTTAAAACTTTCTTACATACTTTGTGAAGAGCCGAAGTAGATTATATCATCAACATAGAGACAAACTATGATGAAATCATTCATACCTTGATTCTTCACATAGAGAGTTGTCTCATTTTCACTCCTGTTGAAACCTTTGTTGATAAAGGAGTCAATCTTGATGTACCATGCCCTAAGTGCCTGATTAGTAAACCACTAAAATCAGTGGGGTAAATGCCGTGGAACATTTACCAATTTTTTTAAGAAAGAAGGTGAATACAAAAATAAAAAGGGGACTACACCAAAACCTCTCCTGGGATGACATACCACCTCAAAATACATGAAAGAATAAAGAAAGTGAATTGGGCTTTATAGGCCCAAAAATATAAAGAAAGAGTCCACATCAAAACAAAAAAAACGACCCATTAGTATGTGAATGCAAAAAGGAAATAAACTAACTAATTAGGAAACCCTGTTGTCTGGATATCCAATGATGTCCAGGTGAAGTGTGTTAAGAATTAAACTCACGCACGCGAAGAACAATAACGAAGAACACACAAAATTTGGTAACCCTGTTCGCCACGAATGACTATGTCTGGGGGCGCTACCAAACCAGGAATGTTATTAATATTTTCGGATCAAGGGTTTACAAGGGAGAGAGGTTGTATTTATAGAGAGTAAAACATAACCCCTAATTAAATTAAGACGCGCCTGGCCCACATCCGTATAGCCCAAACTGTACGGAAACTTTACGGAAACTGTACAGAAAACTTGTTCGTCAAAAACGGACCAACAATTTCGGCAGATAGGGCTTGGTTATACAGTCTCTAACACCTTACAATCTCCCACCTTGAGACTGTTTTCTTCAAATCCTCCATTATTTGCATGGTAGCGCCGACCTTCATTTTCAAGTACCCAGGCCAATTGAAGCTATGCAAAGCTTCAATTTCTCCATGGTTACCACCTTAGTAAACATGTCTGCTGGATTCTCACTCCCACAGAACTTCACAAGCTGAAATGCCTCTATCTCCATGCAATGCCCTTATCTCCAGAAGATGACGGATGTAGTGATACTTCAACCGAATGTGTTTGGTTCTCTTGTGAAAAACTGAGTTGTTAGCCAAGTAAATAGTACTTTGAGTGTCACTGTAAAGAATGTTATTCTTGTAATCCTTCCCAAGTTCCCCAAGTAGATTCTGATGCCACACCATCTCCTTGCTTGCCTCCGTAATGGCCACATATTCAGCTTCAGTGGTAGATAATGCAACAATCTTGTGCAGCTGCGAAAGCCAGGAAACTGCTGTCCCACCAAATGTAAAAACATACCCGGTGGTGCTCCTCGATCCATCCGAGTCATTTGATGCCAAGTCTGCATCAACACGTTCCTACCAGCTCCACGTTCTTTCCATCAAAACATAAGGCATTAGAAACAGTACCTTTCAAATACCTCATGATCCACTTCACAGCTTCCCAATGTTCCTTCCCAGGATCTCCCATGAATCTGCTAACTACTCCCACCGCATGTGCAATGTATGGCCTCGTGCACACCATATCGTACATGATGCTGCCAACTGCCAAGGCGTATGGGACATTCTGCATTTGAGCACGCTCCTCCTTGTTCTTCGGTGAATCTTCCTTGCTAAGCTTAAAGTGATTACCCAGTGGTACACTTCCTGCATTCGCATCTTTCATTCTGAATCTTTCCAAGACCTTCTGAATATATTTTGTTGTGAAAGAAACAATCTACCTGCTGCCTCATCCCTCTCGATTCGCATGCCCAAAATCTACTTAGCCTCTCCAAGATCTTTCATGGAAAAATGTTTTGACAACTGAATCTTCAGCTTCTCAATCTCCTTTGAACTAGCTCTTGCAATTAACATGTCATCCACATATAATAGCAATATAAGATAACAGTTCTCAGTCTTCTTGTAGTAGTGGCAATTGTCGATGTGACATCTCAAGAAATTGATTTTGTGCATGAAACCATCAAATTTCTTGTACCACTGCTCCGATGCTTGCTTCAACCCATATAAGCTCTTCTTTAGCTTACACACCAGATCCTCAGTGCCTCCTGCCACGTAGCCCTCCGGTTGCATCATGTAAATCTCATCATTCAAATCACCATGAAGAAATGCAGTCTTCACATCCATCTGATGCAGCAACAAATTCTCTATAGCAACAAATTCTCTATAGCAACACTAACCGAATAAGGCTTGTTTATACGGTCTGTAACACGGACCAGAAGCTGAGCAACCTGAAGAAAGACCATCTGAGAATAGTACGAAGTTGAAGTTTGCGCCAGGAGATGAGCAATTTCGTTCGCCTGTATGTAGCAATGGTGGAACGAAAATCAGCGTTCAGAGGCGATTCGTTTGATGAGAAGTGTGAGAAAATTGAAGGGAGCAGAGCTATGTTCTTCCCAAAGAAGAGAGATGGCTGCCGGCAAATCTGATTCGATCTCCACGCCAAATAATTAAGCCTGTACTGAGTAACCAATGAGGAGCCACAAAAATAGCTGTTATTTCAGCTTCAAGAATTGATCTGGCCTGAAGTGGAAAGGGTCCGGAAAATATGAATTTACCTTCAGCATCTCAGGGTATAGCACAACCAAAGGATGAATTTCAGTTGAAGGAAGCATCTACATTCAATTTGAAGGCATTTTTCGGTTTTCTCCAGTTTACTTTAAGACACTTGGGCTCATGAATTCTTTTACTAACCGGAAATATACCTTCTTGAATGAAGAGGTCTGGGACCTTCCCAACTTTAGGAAATGTTGTTCTTTATGTAGTTCTTTATGGCTTTCACAATAGTCATATGATTAAAGTTGTAAGTGTTGTTATCCCAATAGTATGATGAAAAAGATTTCCAAATATGCCACACCACAATACCAGGAAGTACATGTTTATAAATGTCTGCAATTGTCTTAGAGCCAGCCTCTAACCATCATGAAAAACAGATTTGTCTATGAGATACCTCCCAATTAGGTATTGGAATCATGAATAAGAAAAATGCTAAAGGTACCCCCAATTGGTACCCCCAATTTGTACCCCCACCCTATTTTTGTGGCTCACAAAAGCACCTCATTAAAGTGGGGCAATTCATTTATTGAGGTGGGCTTTTGTGAGTCACAAAAATAGGCTGAGGTACAAATTGGGGTACCAATTGGAGTACCTATAGCAGGGTTGCATGAATAAACCCATGAAATAAGACCAAATTTGTTAAATCTGTGAGAAACTGTAAAAAAATATGGGAGGTGGTGATAGATTCTCTTCTGCAAAAGGGGCATTGGGTGGGTAAAGCACATATGTTGAATCTACTGATGTTGTTAGGAAGAGGAAGAATATTCTGGAAAAGCTTCCACATAAAAAGTTTTATGGGGTAAAATTGTTTGGGATGCCAAATGTGTTGATTTGAGAAAGTAACTGAGTGAATGGCTCTTACTTCTTGAAATGCAGATGATAGAGTGAAGTTACCATCCTGAGATGGTTTCCAGACTATGCTTCCATTTTCGGACTCCACCAAGTCCAGGCCATGCTCATGTGTATGACAAATTCCTTTCCAGATGGCTGAGTCATGTAATTTAGCCTTCAAGTCAGACCCCCTAGGATATCTAGAGTGCATAAAGTTAGCCCAAAGAGTTGAATTATTATACCAGTTCCACGAAATTTTGAGGGAGAAAGCAAACCGTATAAGGATAGCATGTCTTCTTCCATTTCATCCAATGGATATTATTAGATCCCTCCTGTGTACGAAAGAAAAATGAAGTACACTTCCTTTCCAAAACATTAATCACTCTCTGAGGTAACTTAGCAACTGCCATAGTGCGAACAGGGATAGAAGACAGGAAATGTTTAATTAAAATGAGTTGCCAACTTTGTGAAAATACACTTTTCTTCCAGTTTGATAAGTGTTTATCAAATTAGTTGATGAGATCTTTATAGTAGCTGAATCCATTAATTCCCTTATGAAATTAGACCCCCAAGATATTTATTAAGGAGCTTAGAACTTTTCATTTCAAGAAGGCCTTCTGTATGTTCAATTCTGTTTTCAGGGAACTTAATTACTGCTGATAATAAATTGAATTTTGTTGTAGTTCACCATTTGCACAAAAGATTGTTGATAAGAGGAGAGGAACTTCTTGAAAGACAAAAGGGATCTGGCACCTCCATTCAAGAAAAGGAGCAGGTCGTCTGCATAGCCTAGGTGAGTAACAGTAGGGGCTCCATGACTGACTAAGTAGGATATAATCTTTCTAACATTTACCAGCTGGTTAAGGCCTCTTGAAAAAGCCTCTGAAGTTAAAATGAAAAGATAAGGCGGATATCTCTGTTTAACCCCCCTTGTTGGCTTAAAAAAACCTTATGAAGTACCATTGACCATCACTGACATATGTGTAGCCTCACGATTATTCATAATAATATTGATGAATAGGTCTTAAAAACCAAATTTTAGAAGAACAGCCCTAAAAAATCCCAAGATACTTTGTCAAAATCCTTGGCCATATCTAGCTTAATTGCTATGTTTCCTCCTCTTACCTTTTTATCCAGCACATGCATCAGTTCCTGTGCTACAAGTATATGACCGCTAATATCTCTGTTCCGTAGAAAACGAGCCTGCTCCTTAGATATAATCTTAGGTAAGATTAAATGATTAAGGTTTGATCACTACTAGATAATGCCTAAAATAGTGGATTACATGACTAAGTAATAATCGAAATGCATAACTAACCAAATGACCAAATCAATTCCCAAAACATAGATAACAAAATGAGTTTTTAATCGCAACAAATAAATGAATAAATCAATAAGTTTACATGTTTGCCCATGGCTACATGCACACTTGAATCCAGCTCAAGCTTGGTCACATTTAACACCATCCTTTGATCCAAGCTTACACATCCCTATTTTCTCCGTGAAATACTGATGTTTGGCTTGATTCAAGGTTTTAGTAAATAGGTCTACATTTTGAAAGTTGTTCCGCAAAAATGTAAGTTGATCCTTTCCTAAGCCATCAGTTGTCTGATAAAATGATATTGCACATCAATGTGCTAAGTTCTTGTGTGAAATGGAGGATTCCTTGCCATAGCAATACTGGAATTGTTATCACACCAAATCTCAGGTTCACCTTGATACTCATAGACCAAGTCCTTCAGCAATTTCTACCGCCAAAGTGCTTGTTCTGCTGAAGCCCCTTCAACAATATACTTAGCTTCAGATGATGATAGAGCCATAGTGTCTTGCTTCTTAGAACTCCAAGTAACAGCCCCAATTCCAAGATCAAACACTGAGCCTGATGTGTTTTTCCTGTAAAACTCTTTGTTCCTTTTATTCTTTTCGATTAGTTTCCGCCGGCGACCAACTCCGTTTTGCTATGCTCTCCGCCATGGATTCAGTGACTCTCCACCATGGATTCGTTGTCTCTCCACCATGGATTAGTCTCCCATGTTCCAACAATTATTCAAGCTATTACAAATTCAAGTTTTGTTTACAACTCGATCTAGATTATAATTTTTTCGCTTCATTCTTTTAAACATCGTTGTCATTGTAGTCATCTTTAGACGGGATGCGTAGATGCTCAAGCTGAATTGCCATTGAGTACGCCAGACAACATGAATAATTGTGGAAGAACTGGTCTAGCTACACAGATCGACAATGAGAGGGATTTTTTGTTAATTTTTTTCAATTATTTTCCTTCAAATCGAGAAATAACTTTAACCTCTAGCCCATCCTGTTTTGAGATCGTTTTAAATGATTTAGTCATTTGTAAAATCTGATGAATTTACATTTTACCTATCAAGTGTTTGTTATAATGTTTCAATGGTAAAAATAGAAATAAACCTCTTTTAAGAGTATACTGGTAGCCAATTTAGAACTATACGAACGTATGAGTTGAATACTGTAAAAATTAAGTCAATTTTAATACTTTTGAGTTGAACCATTTGTTTCTTTAGAGTTAAACTAGGTTATCCACTACTTAATATTTAAAGTAAATTGGTGCAATTGTGAATTAATTTAGTTGCCAGCCCCAAATTTATATCTCGGGCCAGATTTTATATCTCGGGTCACCTTTAAGATTTGTGGATATATCTTAGAGCTTTATGATGTGAATTATTTTTACTAAGATTTAGCATATAACGAGTCTTTTTCATTTGATTTTTATTATAATGAATGTTAAAACAGTGGTGCAATCTTTGCTTGTCCTAATTTTACTTTCGAGAGATACAAATTTGGGGTATTGTGTTTTTGCTTTACTTTTATAAAGTCTCCATTTGGGATAAAAAATATATTAATGGGTGGAATGTTGTTTGCAGCGTTTCCTGAACTCCGATCTTTCATCTGTCCAGAGCTCCACTGCCGATCAACTAAAATGATTAGGAGGACAAAGAAAGCTAGTATAGTATCGAAGTATGGCACCCGGTATGGTACTAGTCTTCGTAAATTAATTAAAAAGATGGAGGTTAGCCAGCACAATAAGTTCATCTGTGAGTTTTGTGGCAAGTACGCAGTGAAGAGAAAGTCAGTCGGTATATGGGGCTACAGAGATTGTGGCAAGGTCAAGGCAGGCGGGGCATATACCTCGAACACTGCTAGTGCTGTGACAGTCAGAAGCACAATCAGAAGACTTAGGGAGCAAAGTGAGAGTTGAGTCTTGAGACAATTCATTAAAAAGATGGAGGTTAGCCAACACAATAAGTTCATCTGTGAGTTTTTAACCTGATTCAGGTTCTTGTTTATGTTTTGATACTCAATATTAGACAATTCATTTCTTTTTTTTTAGTTTACTAGCATCTTTTGTGATTAAAAAAGTTGAATGTTGTTTGCAGTTTGGATGGAACTATAAAGTTAAACTAGCAATCCTGATTCTTTTTCTTTACCAAGGGGGCATTGCATTTTTTACATATTTTAAATTATAATATTTTTTGGATTTTTTTTTAATTCAGGTTTGTCTTGATTATTTGATATTTTTTTTTCACAGAACGGGACATTTTTATAGTACTATAGATGCACTCATTACTGCCAACTAACATACACATTCCCCCGAGTATATTAAGTCTTCCACAAAAACGAAAGGGAAATTGTCACAGTATTTTTTTACTTCTGCCAGAAATATCAGAGACCTTTGGCAAAAGTTGGAAGGCGGGGGCTGGTTGTGTTATATAACAAGGCAGCAGGTGTTATGGGGAAGTTTTGGGGATGATCACCCTTACTCATTAAACTGAGGCAACAAAAGAAGCATCCCCAGGAATGGACTCTATTCCCAACTGGAAGATGACAGCTATAACGCACGGAAACGCCGATGGGGTTGAGTTTCCCCGTATCGGAAACGTTCGAACGTTTCCGAGCGTGGGAAACGCTAAAAACGCGTGTCTGGGCCGTTTTTTAATTTCCGAAAATTTGGAAACGCGTTTCTCAGGAAGAAAAACAAAGTTTCGACAAAAAAAATCAGGGCTTTTTTACGCTCCAACGATCAGGAAGCCAAAACACTAAAATTAGTATGAGTAAAACCTTTCTTCTTCACACTTCATTGTCTTCAACCCAACGCCACTTAATCCGTCATCGGTTCTTCCGCTTAAGCAAACGTTGCCGGCTTCAGCAAAGGTCTTGAACAGTAGGTTTGTCGTTCACTTCAGCAGCGTCGTCTTGAACAGGTAACTCCGTAACTCTCAGAGACTTTCAAATCGGACCTCATCCCCTTCAATTCCTCCGTCGTCTTCAGTAGGTGGGTCGTTTGCTATTAGCCCACCAGCCCGAATTGTGATAAAGTGCCGGTTGGTGTAAATTGGCAGATGAGTGGTGTGGATTTAAAGTGAAATTTAATAGTGGTGATGATGTGTATTCACTAGGCACTTCGCAGCTTTATTTTTTTTGGGAGTTTGGCAGCCTTACTTTGTATCACATAAAATGTTTATATTTTGTTAAATAGTTAAAGTCTTAAAGATGCTTATATGTGTGTGTGAATTTATATATACACATATAAATAGAGGAATGTTCATGTCAGGCCGGCCTGACGGGCTGCCCCGTCCGGCCGAGCCCGTTTGGGCACCTTCCCGGTGGAATTTTTTGATGAAATTTTTTGAGCATGTTCCTCATCAAGTCTAGTTTGTCCATACCAAATTTCAGCTCAAAATTCCATCGAGAAGGTCGTCAAATGATTTTTGCAAGTTAACTGGTCCTGAATATGTATTTTCCTCATCAATCCATATAAATATATATATATATATATACACACACACATATAAAAATATATATATATAATATTTATAAAATGACCCCTGTATTTTTTATATTTGCGCATTTCCCCCACGTTTCGTGTCCTGTGTTTTTGGAAAATGACGTTTCCGACGTTTCCCGTTTCCCGTTTCCCGTTTCCCGTTTCCCGTTTCCGTGCTACTTAGCAATCCTGCAGTTACATCTTCTTCGATCCCGCACTCATTTGTTCCTCAGGTGATCTTGAAATACCCATCATCACCCCAACTTCTATTCCACTGATTGGCAAGGAGCCAATAGTCTTCTCCATCATCGGAAGTTCCCCATCCTATGAGCTTAACAGCTTGCCCTCCCATTTCTTCGCCTGTGACATGTTTGTAGACTCCGGATTTGTAATATGCGAAGTCCTCATAGACAGTAAAGGAGACCTCGACAGGTCCATTACTGTAAATTTCAGCCACGATACTGTATG